CGTATCAGGAGATGCTGGCTGTCCAGAGCCCCTCAGAATCACTATATCTGGATGTGCCAGGGGCTCAAAATTCGATTTTGTTGGGGCATGTGGAGAAAATTAAAGGGCTGTCTCACATCAAACTCATCTGACATAAACACCCAGGATTGTGTTATACCTGGTAGGGGCTAAACATCTTTAGTGACCAGCACTGGTGCCTACTATTCAAAGCAAGCCCTTGTATTTCTGAGGTTGTTGAAGGTGGAAGTCTAGGTGGGCCCAGAACCAGAACCTGGAGGGATAGAGAGGCTTCCAGGGAAAGAGGGGCCTAAAGAACTTTGTCCTCAGCATGACAGAGGACAACTTCTAGGAGCCAAGGTGTTCCTGTTTGCCCAACAATGGCAAATAAACTGCAGCCACCAGTTCTAGCTTCCCACTGCACACTCATTGGGCCCTTCTATATGGCATTCCTTCTCAGCCGGTGCAGAGTCTGATGAAGTCAGGGCGTACCTGCAGTACAGCCTCAGAGGTGTATTGTGGCTTCCAGAGTGAGATCCAGCCTGAGCCCTCAAATGTCTCTCAATCTCCTTGGACACCCGATGGCTGTGACTGTGCCTGGGTGTTAGCTGTCTCCAGAGATGGCTGGGCTTCTCCATTACTTGATGATATTTCCTCTAAGTTCACTTTCAGATGCAATCTTTATTTTTATTTTTTATTTATTTTTATTTTTTTGGACAAAGTTTCGCTCTTGTTGTGCAGGCTAAGTCCAATAGTGCAATCTCGGTTCACTGCAACCTCTGCCTCCCCGGTTCAAGCAATTCTCCTGCCTCAGCCTCCCGAGTAGCTGGGATTACAGGCTCCTGCCACCACGCCTGGCTAATTTTTGTATTTTTAGTAGAGGTTGGGTTTCACCATGTTGGCCAGGCTGGTCTCGAACTCCTGACCTCAGGTGATATGCCCACCTCAGCCTCCCAAAATGCTGGGATTACAGGTGTGAGCCACCATGCCCAGCCTCAGCTGCAATCTTACTTAACTCACAGTGCTTGGGCTTCTTATTTTTTTGTCCTCAGGTATCAGGTTAAACCAGAAAAGAGATGATTAGGACTTGAGGGAAGCCGGATAATGGAATGGGAATGGATTTGGGTGCATCTATGCGGTGAATTGATGGTCTTTGACTTGGGAGATGAGGAAGAGAGAGGTGTTTAAGGTAATTCTCAGGTTGGAGTTAGGTAAGAACCTGGCTGTTCCCTGAGGGTAGGCACTGGGTCCTCCCTGCTTGGGTTTTCGATAAAGAGGCAGCACTACTGCTTGGCTCGTTAATTCAACCGATACCTGCTGTACCAGACACTGTGCTAGGGATGGAACAACAAACAGGACAGAAAGGCAGTGCCTGACCTCAAGGAGGTTATATTCTAGTGGAGCATACAGAGAAAATAATTGTAAAACCATAAAACCGATGATACTAGCTGTGTTGTTTTAAAGAAAACTAACCATGCAGAAAGGGGCAGAGTAAAGGGAAGCTCTACTCGCAGTAAGGTGACCAGGATGAGGAAGCTGTTCATGCAAAGAAGAGGGAGGAGTGGACAGAGGAGTCAGCAAGTGCTAGGGCCTCGAGCAGGAGAGGGACTGGTACGGTCCAGAAAGGCCAAGACCTGCATGACTGGAGCCTGGGAGCAACGGAAGAGCAACAAGCATGCAGGGCCTTGAAGGCCACTTCAGAAGACTGGGTTTTACTCTAAAAGACACCTCTAAAGAGTTTTTTGTTTTTTGTGTTGTTTTGAAACAGGCTTTCGCTTTCGATCTGTCTCTCAGACTGGAGTGCAGTGGTACAATCATAGCTCAGTGCAGCCTCGACCTGCTGGGCTCAAGAGATCCTTCCACCTCAGCCTCCCAAGTAACTGGGACTATGGGAGCACATCATGACACCTAGATAAAATATGTATTTTTTTTTTTTTTGAAAAGACAAGGTTTTGCCATGTTGCCCAGGCTGGTCTGAAATTCCTGGGCTCAGGCAATCCACCCACCTTGTCCTCCCAAAGTGCCGGGATTACAGGTGTGAGCCACCACACTCAGCCCCTCTAAAAGTTTTAATTTAGTTTAATCGGAGTGATATGATATGATTCTAAGAGTCTAAGAAGCCCACTTGGGAAGCAAGATGTAGAATGCATTGGCGAGGGAGGAACAGATCAGAGAGTGGGAAGGATATTGCAATGGGACAGGAGAGCATGATGGTGACTTTCACCAGGGTGATGTCAAGAGCGGTAGAGAGAAGTGAATGGATTTGAGATACATTGCGGGGGTAGAATTGACTAGACTCACTGATAAATGAGATGTGGGAGACGACAGAAAGAGAGATCAAGATGACCCCTTGGTTTCTAGATAGACACTGGAGTTGTTTACTGAGATGAAGAGGATCAAGGGGCGGTGGGGAAAGGGGAGATTTGAGGGGGAATCATCCAGATTTTCTTTTCTTTTCTATTTATTTATTTATTTATTTGATGGAGTTTCGCTCTTGTTGCCCAGGCTGCAGTGCAATGGCACAATCTCAGCTCACTGCAATCTCCACCTCCTAGGTTCAAGTGATTCTTCTGCCTCAGCCTCCTGAGTAGCTGGGATTACAGGCGCTGGCCACCACGCCTGGCTAATTTTTTGTATTTTTAGTAGAGGCAGGGTTTCACCATGTTGGCCAGGCTGGTCTCGAACTATTGACCTCAGGTGATCCACCCCTCCTCAGCCCCCCAAAGTGCTGTGATTATGGGCATGAGCCACTGGGCCCAGTCAAGATTATCTAGATTTTCATTTCGGGACATGTTAAGTTTGAGATGTCTGAGAAACAGCGAAGTGAAGACCTCAAAGAGAGGGTGAGTATGCAAGTCTGGAGCTGAGCAGAAAGTTCTGAGATAGACATTTAAATATGAAAGTCATTAGCACATACAATGGCATTTAAATCTATGTAGATAGATCAGACCACTTAGTGATTAAAAGAAAGAAGCACCAAGACCCAATCCTGAAAAACTTTAACATTTAGAGGTCAGATAAGAAAAAAAAAATCTGGTGCAGCAGAAAATAATGAGAAAGAATGGTCAGTGAAGTAGGAGGTGGTGCAGAGAGAGTGTCTCGGTTTCCATGACACCATGGAAGCCGAGAGAGGAAAGTACATCTGTGACAAAAGCAACCGGCAGGTCAAGGTGAGCGCAGAGAAGCATCTGTCGGGCTTGATAACGCGGTGGTCTTTGCCTTGTTTTTAAGAGCAGTATCACTGGGGTGCTAGGGACTGAAAATTATTTCTCATTCCTTTATTGCTAGGAGCAAGTTATGCTGTCATCCATCCTAAACTTGAAAGTCAAATAAATGTGGGAAGGGTTTCCAAGGGAATCTTGCATCTTGCCATTACACCAGCTGAGTTTAATTTCCCAGGAGCCCAGTCTTGCCCACCTCCTCCCCATGCCTGCAGCTCTAGCTGCCAGGATGCCAATATCTTTAACTCCAAACAAACCATTAATTGTACCCTTGGACCCAAATGATAACCTTTTTTAAAATGCTGCTTGTCTTTGCCTCTTCTTTAACACAATGATGGTCAAATCTCTCATCCACAACCACCAGCTCATTTATTTTAATAACTACATCCACAATGAAAACAGGAGTAGTATTATAGAAAGGGATAAAGTCCTCATCACCTTAGTACCAATGACTAGGGCTTTTCAAATGACTATGGACAGGAAAAACAAAGAAAAACATTTTATACATATATATCAAGCCACTAGATGGAAGTCTTCATTCAACTGCCTGTACATTCAGAAAAGTAAAGCAGGATCAGTGCCAGACTGCACAAATCCGTCAAATTCATTCGACATTCATTGAACAACTGCTTTGTACAAAGACAAATAACAATGATGATAATGGCTACCAGTCATGCAGTACTTACTCTGTGCCAGGCAGTCTGCTGAGTTGCACATACATTGAGTCTCATATACCTTGGCTCATTTAATTCTCCCAGGAGGAAGGGAGTATTATTATCTTCTTTCTATGGGGGAAGAAACCAAATCTTAGAGTTACTTACTCCAAGTAACTGGCCCATGTTGGTGAATGGAGGAGCCAGGTTCCAGAATTAAGAAAACACTGTCATTGTCTACAAAGTGTTTATACTAAATTTGGTAAGAGAGGGATGATGTGCCACAAGGGTGGGCTGTGACTCAGATGCAGGAGCCAGCCAAGAAGGGGCGAAGAGAATCAGCAAAGGCCCCACCATGCTCTCTACAGCTCAGGCTGAAACCACGGGGTCACCCCTGATTGTCTTCCCTCAATCTCCCCACAACTACGTCACCAAGAACCAACTGTTCCATCCCCTAAATGCATCTTAAACCAGTCCGCCTTTCTTCACCTACCCTACGATCACATCATTTGTCAAGGCCACCATCATTAATAAGATGGGCTCCCTGGACCACTGCAAGAGCCTCTGGGCTGGTCCTCTGGCATCCTCTCTGCCTCCTACAATCCTCCCTTTCCACTGTAGTCAGAGGGTCCACTTAGTGCACAGGTCACCTCTGTACCCCGCTCAAGCCCTTTCAAAGGCTTCCCAGTAAATCTCAACTCCTTTCCATTGTGTCCAAGGCCTTCCCTCCATGATCTGGGCTTCTTAACCTCATCTCCTACAATAGCTGCTGGTTTCTCAACAGTCAGGACAGAACCTGGCATAAACAGTAATTAGGTGCTGAAGAAATGAAGGCAAGAATGAATGAGTGAATAAATAGAAAAAGCTTTGTGGGGGAGCCATGTTTGAAATTAGCATTAAAGTGGAGCAGGATTTCTTAGACAGTGAGGGCTAAGGGGTGGGAGGTAGTGAAAGAAATTGTTCTCAATGGAGGCAGCAGGTGCACAGGCACAGAGGGATTTCAGGTGCAGCAGGGACATAGCCTGAGCAGGCCTGGGGGGCAGGGCCATGTGAAGCCTGGGTTCTCAAGGTTCAGTATGCATTGTAAGCCCCCGGAAAGCTTGCTGAGACACAAATTGTGGGAACCCACCTCCAGAGATTCTGATAGGTCCATCTGAAACAGAGGCTGAAATGTGCATTTCTTACAAGTTCCCGGGTGACGCTACTGCGGCTGGTCCAGGGCCCACACTTTGAGAACCACTGGTACAAAGTACACTTGGTCCTTCACATCCATGGGTTCCACATCTGTGGATTCAACCAACTGTGGATCAAGATATTAAAAAAAAAAAAATAGATGATTGCATTTACACTGAACATGTGGGTTTTTTAATTGTCTTTATTTTCTAAACAACACAGTCAATAACTATGTACATAGCATTTCCATCGTATTGGGTATCATAAGTAATCTCGACATGATTTAAAGTATATGAAAGGATATGTGTAGATTATATGCAAATACTACATCATTTTATATAAGGGACTTGAGCATCTGTGGGGGACTGGAACCAAGCCCCCACAGATACCAAGGGACAACCGTATGTGTATATATGCTTTAATTTTGGAGAGTGGGGATTCTTACTTTAAACAAGGGATATAAATCACTGTTTTAAGACATTATTAGTCCTTTGATACTTAAATGTGAATGAGTTGCAAGTTTGTTATTAGCCAGAAGGAGAACTCCAGGCACCAGAGGTAAGAGACAGGAGTGAGATAAGAACGGGGAAAGGGAGAAACCCTAGTTTGCCTGCTTCCCAGCATGCCCCAGGGCCAGGCTGGAACAGAAAAGATTAGCTTTGCTAGTGGGAAATTCAATGAAAATGGCTGGGCGTAGTGGCTCACACCTGTAATCCCAGCATTCTGGGAGGCCGAGGTGGGTGGATCAGTTGAGGTCAGGAGTTCGAGACCAGCCTGGCCAACATGGTGAAACCCCGTCTCTACTAAAAATACAAAAATTAGCCAGGTGCAGTGGCACATGCCTGGTAATCCCAGCTACTCAGGAGGTTGAGGCACAAGAATCACTTGAATCCCAGAGATGGAGGTTGCAATGAGCAGATACTGTACCACTGCACTCCTTCCTGGGCAACAAAGCAAGACTCTGTCTCAAAAAAAAAAAAAGAAAGAAAGAAAGAAATTCAATGAAATGGAACAAAATAAGACAGTCACTCTGGAGCAAGGGGAGAGCTCAGTTATTTCCTTCTCCCATAGCTGGGACTTGGCTCCACCCTGTGGGCTCCCCCTGTCAAAGCCTTCAGCCTACCATGTGTGTGTGTGTGTGTGTGTGTGTGTGTGTGTGTGTGTGTGTGTGTGTGTGTAAAGGAATTTCTTAGGTTGAAGCGAGGACACACAGCCCCCCTGCCCCAATCCTTACCTGTGGGAGATCCTGAGAGGCTTGGAGAATCAAGTTTGAAAAACCACTCTTCAAGGCTCTGTGAAACTCCTAAACTATATGCACAATATCTATGTTCACGTGTATGTTTTGGGAGAGATGAAACTCTAGAGCCACACTGCCCAATACAGTGGCCACTAGCCACATGTTATGGCTATTTAAATTTAATATAAATAAAATGAAGTTTTCAGTCTCTCGGTCACCCTTACCACATTGGGTATTCAGTAGCCACATGTGGCCACCATGCTGGACAGTGCAGACACAGAGCATTTCCACCACCACAGGAAGCTCTGCTGGGCAGCGCTCATCTAGAGCTTTCAGCAGTTTTCCAAAGGTATCCATGGCCAGAAATTTTAAGAGCTGTTAGTCAAAGCCAGTGAAACTTCACCTAAGGAGCCAGACTCTGCCCTGGAGAGATGAAAGCTCATCACTATGACAGAGGCTGTGAACAAATCTGCCTTTGAATAGTCTTTTTCTTCCAAAAATCCCACTCTAAAAACTCTTAGAAGATATCTAGATTTTGTGCCTTATTATTTATATCCCCTCCTGACCATTGTACCAAAGAGAGGGATGGCTTAATTCCACAAATATTTGCTATAAAAAGGTTCTCTGAGTTCCCCCAGAGTGTCTGTGCCTAACACAAGTCATAGTGGTAAGTAACCTTGATGCTCCCAGTGACCTTGTCTCCTTTGGTGTGTGTGATGGCTCTAGGTGGGCGAGGCAGTCTTGGAAAATGCCCGGCTCATGCTGCAGACAGAAACTATCCAGGCGGGAGCAGATGACTTTAAAGAGAGGTAATGCTTTACAGCAGAGGGGACAGTCCCTTCACACCCCCACACTCCTGGGCAGTGTGGATAATGCTGTTCTGGAGCCGGCATCGTTCACCTCCTACCCCAGGGGAGGCTGGGCAGGATAACAGCCACAATTATCCGGCTCATGTCCCTCCTTGTAGACACAAACTAGGCATTAAGGGCTCAAAGATGTTGCCCAGTGTCAGTTGGTTTAGAGCAGGGGTTTTCAAACTCTGGCATGCATCAGAATCACCCAGCGGCCATATAGAAAACACAGATTGCTGTGCCCCACCCTGTTGGATTTCTGATTCAATAGGTCTGGAGTAGGACCCCAAATTTATATTCCCAACAAGTTCCCAGGGATGCTGATCATGCTGGTCCTGGGACTCAAATACTTTGAGAACTACTAGTTCAGAGGAATGATTCTCAATCCTGGCTGCATATCAGAATTACCTGGGCACTTAAAAATGTCAGTGCAGGCCAGGCATGATGGCTCACGCCTGTAATCCCAGAACTTTGGGAGGCTGAGGCGGGTGGATCACAAGGTCAGGACTTCAAGACCAGTCTGGGCAAGATGGTGAAACCCCATCTCTACTAAAAATACAAAAATTAGCCAAGCATGGTGGCAGGTGCCTGTAATCTCAGCTGCTCAGGAGGCTGAGGCAGAGAATTGTTTGAACCCAGGAGGTGGAGGTTGCAGTGAGCTGAGATTGCACCACTGCGCTCCAGCCTGGCAACAGAGCGAGACTCCATCAAAAAAAAAAAAAAAAAAAAGTCAGTGCAGTGCACAAGCCATGTGGAGTCCCCGTGGGCGGGGTCCAGGCTTCGGCAGTTTTAAAGCTCATCAGGTGACTTAATGTGCATCTGGGCTTGAGAACCATGCTCAGCTACACCTCCTACTCAGTCCCTGAAGGCATCTGGGTTTGCAGCCAGTGTCCTGGAGATGCACCCTTTTAACATGGGCGCTGTGGAGACAGAAACCACATTTCTTATTTTGGGGTCCCCAGCCTGATGCTTAGTAGGTTGTCAGTACAGTTTGTTAAAGGATCCTTGGTTGAAAAGGAGGATAATTCAGGATAGCGATGAAGATGCCGCATCCCCTAACCTGGATCCGAACTCCTGAGTTTTCCCTGGAGCTCTGTGTTTCAACACTCCCATGAGGCTGGTAGCCTATGAAGCCAGGTTATCAGAAGTTGGCTGCAATTGCCTTCATTCTAATAAATCAGTGTGTGACAATTGTACTAACAGTGCCCTCAAAGCTATTGAAACAGTGACTTTTGCCATTCATTGTCTAACTATCACATAATTGGCCTGTTGGTAACATTTATAATCTGGTTCTTTTTCTTTTGGACTACCAGTTATACTGATTAAGTTCGTTTATCTGCAGATATGAAAATGAGCTGCCATTTCGAAAAGCGGCAGAAGAGGAAATTAACTCTCTGTATAAAGTCATTGATGAAGCTAATTTGACAAAAATGGATCTGGAGAGTCAAATAGAAAGTCTGAAAGACGAACTTGACTCTCTGTCAAGAAACTATGAAGAGGTAGGTGGGGGCTGGGTTGCTGGGTTGGCCACAAGACCAGAGGCACACATCTGTCTGCCTGTGCTTCCGGACAAGGCCATGGTAGCTCCTCTCTGACTCCACAGTGTGTGCCCAGGACTGCAGGGAACATACCTGTAAAATACTCTCAGATCCTTGTAGTGGGTCCGGTTGCCCCTGCAGTTTCAAACTCAAATAGCTTTGGGAAGAAGTGTGGTACAGAAACGGGAAGGCAGCTGGCCTTGGCACTAGCAAATGGGAGAACTTGGGTTAAATTAGAGGGAGCAACCCCTCCTCAATGCATTCTATGTCAGGTTTTGTTTGTTTGGTTTTTTTCAACACTGTATTATACAAACAAAATAACTCTGAGGGTAGATCCAAGCTGTGGTTTATATCTACTCATTAACAAAATTAGGTCAGCTCATTGAGTGACAGAACTGGTGGGGACCTCCAATAGTTATAGGCTCTAGTTCCCTGTATGACTTCAGTGATTCTAAACCACCTCACACATATTACTGTCTGATTTGAGATTTAGGCTGCTTCAAGTTGAGTCAAAACAATGCTCACATTGGGAAGTTCTTTCTTGGGTCCAACTTAAGCTAACTAGCAACTGTAAACCCACTTCTTCTTGTTCTTAGCTCAGTGACTTAAGACAACTCTCCAACAGTAACCCTTTAGAGATGCCAAAGTTATCTTTAAGTCTCTTTCAGCCTTGTCTGACTTTATGATTAAATTCACTTTGCTGTTGTTGCTTACTTTGTTTTTGTTTTTTAAATTTATTTATTTTGATTTCTGCTTTGGGCTGGGGCTTGTGGAGACCAACCTAATAAATGCATCCTTGGTGCCAGGCATGGTGGCTCGTGCCTGTAATCCCAGCACTATGAGAGGTCAAGGAGTTCAAGACCAGCCTGGGCAACATGGTGAAACCCCATCTCCACTAAAAATATAAAAACTAGCTGGGTGTGGTGGCATGTGCCTGGAGTCTCAGCTGCTCAGGAGGCTGAGGTGGGAAGATTGCTTGAGCCCAAGAGGTGGAGGTTGCAGTGCGCCGAGATCATGCCACTGCACTCCAGCCTGGGCGACAAAGTGAGACCCTGCCTCAAAAGAAAGAAAAAGAGAGAGAGAGAGAGAGAAAGAAAGGAAGGAAGGAAGGCAAGCAGGCAGGCATCCTTGGGAAAAGAGAAATTGAGAAATTTTACTTATGCTAGGAAGAACATCAGAGACTTTCCCAGTCTCTGTGAAGCCTGTGTCTGGCAGCTGCAGAATAAGAAAAGAATTGCACACAGAGCTGGTCTTCTGCTGGCTAGAATTCTATGCCATTTATTTCCCCCTGTAACTCACCTAAGATGTGTATTGTCGTTTTCAGGATGTGAAGGTGCTGCACAAACAATTGGCAGGGTGTGAGCTGGAACAAGTGGATGTTCCCATCGGCACTGGTCTGGACGACATCCTTGAGACGATCAGAATTCAGTGGGAGAGAGATGTTGAAAAGAACCGGGTGGAGGCAGGAGCCCTGCTCCAAGCTAAGGTGAGAGGCAGGATCAGCATCCTCCACTCTGCCCTATGCAGGAGGCCAAGCTGAGCTGGAAACCAATCAACATGCAGATGAAGAAATACAATGGTTTAGTAACAAGTTAAACCGCATTAGACATAGAAGAAATGAAAATTAAAATAACAGCTTTTTTGTTTATGTATCTAAAACTAGAAAATGTTTAACATGGTCATAATGCTGGCAAGTATGTGGAGAAGTAGGTTCTCTACTGTATTACTGACAAGCACAAACTAGTGCACTGCCGTTGCATAAGAAATTTAGTAATATGTACCAAGAGTGTTAAAATGCCCCTAGCTACCAGCTGAATAACCTAAATACAATCCTAAAAGAATAATTGAAAAAACAAATCATCTATGTCCAAATATACTCACTGAAGCATTATAAGAGTGAAAAAACACACACGTTTACTAATAGAAGAAAGTCTAAGCCACAACCTAACTATGTGCAGTAAAATATGAGGCAGTTATTAGAATTAATGTTTATGAAGCATTTACAAAATAGGAACATGCTCGTGATATAAGGTAAAATGAGAATAAAATGAGAGTACAGAATGGTATATGCCAGAGCCCAAAAAATGTTTTCTATAAAGGACCAGATAGTAAATATTTCAGTTTTCATGGGCCAGATGGTCTCTGTTGCAACTCCTCAGCTCTGCCACTGTGGTGTGAAAACAGCTGTAGCCAATAGGTAGCAAATGAGCATAGCTGTGTTCCAACAAAACTTTATTTATAAAAATAAAAGGCAAGCTGGATTTGGCCTATGGGCTGCAGTTTGCCAGTTCCTGGTATATACAGTAGGGTAAAGCAAATTCAAACAAAGAAAGTAGGCATTGAGAAAAACATTTATAAAGAAAAGACTAAAATGGGATTAGCAGTCATTGCCTTTAAGCAATGGACTAGTCTGATGCTTTGATATGTTTTTCCTTTTTTTTGTTGTTATTTATCAAGTTTTTGTTAAATAGTATAAATTATATTCATGGAAGAAAAACAACTTTTATTAAACCTCATAAATAATATAGGAATTAACCAGAAAACAGGATGCATAGCGTTTGTTCTTCCGTTCTCCATCTTTCACCCGTTTCTGACTTTGTAATTTTGATACAGAGGATGAAAATTGAAGAGGAAGGAAAATGTGAAAAAGTAGAGAAAATCAGGTAGATGTCTGAGCAAAGGCAAAAAGGCTGTTTCTGAGCTCTTGGTTACCATTTAGTGGTCCTTGAGCCTGGCTACGCAGCAGAATTATTTCAGAGCATTTTCACAAATCAGCATCCCAGACCAATTAAATCAGAAAGAGGAGAGGGACTTTGTGACTTTTCAAGCTCTCTGGACGATTCTAATATGCAGCCAGATTTGAGAACCATGAGAATTATAGAAAGCTATGAAAAGAAAAATAGGAGGGCCTTTTCTGTCCGTTTTCCCACCATACTCACTCAGTCCCCCAAGTAGCAACAGGAACCTTCCCAGCTGGGTCTTCATCAGTTCTGGATCCCCCAAATGTTCTCCAGCCTAGAAAACACCCTTTCAATCACCCATTTATCCAACCCTTACCCCCTTCCAATAGCTACTTTTCTTTCTAATCACCAATCCTTGAGCGAGCCAGGTCACTATAAACACTTTTTATGGCAAATAGTGCCTAGTAATTCAAAAAAATGACTTCCCCTCACTACATCCAACCTGATGAGAAGTGGAGCAACGCAGAGATAGAGTGAAGCCATAGATTTGACTTTGGTCCATTACCTTTTTTAACAGACTTGTGAAAAACCACAGACAATTAATGGTCCTAGAGACCATCTGATCCCATTCCCTAATTTGAGAGGTGAGGAAACTGAGATCTAGCGAGTGCAGGTGACTTCCCAAGGTCACACTACTGGTTGAGAGCTTCATAGTTCTTCTCTCCTGTTCTTGGTCCAGGGACCTTTTCTCTGCATTGGGCTGCGTCGTCTCTCCCCTGGCTCTGCTCCCAAAGCTAAACCTCAGAGGCCCAGCAGTTTGCAAACTTTGCTTCTGTTCCAGCCCTCCTGGGGTGTGCACAACACTGTGGTGACTGTTTCTTTGGGAAAGGACAGGCCATTATAATTATCAGAAATAAATCCTTCATAGTTTGAAAAAGAAAAAAAAAAAAGTCATTATTATCTACTCCTCATCCCTTGGAGAGTCATCGCTAGCCCAACAGTAACTCAAACATTAATCTGAACAGATTCATTAGTGTTTTTTAATAGAGTAATCTGAAAGCTACATCTCAGAGAAAACAGACAGTATTTGTTTTAGCTTGGCCAATGCTGCCTGGGCCTCTTGCAGAGAGGCAGAGCTCAGAAAATATTTGCAGAATGAGTGAATTCCTCTAATCATCAACAGAGATCTGAACTGACAGCCAGAATTCTTCCAATAAATAGTTTTGTCAGTTGCAGTTGTGCCCTCAGGGGCTGACATTTGCCCATCCTGAGCATCTCTTGTTGGTTTCTTGGCGGCAAAGCATAAATGTGAAATGGCTTAGCACACACAGCTTTCAAAAGCTTTTGTAAAGGAAATGCAAGCATGCATCTAATTACCTTTCAGACCAGAGAGGCAGAAAATTAATTAACATGTTTAATTTATGTCATAGTGTAGGTTCCTTCAGAAGCAGAATAAAAAAATATTGGAATTAAGGTAGTTTACTTGGAAGTTGGGGAGTTAAAAACCAACAAAATATCAGAAGAGGAGAAGCAGAGAAGGAACCAACAAGGAATGCATAATCAAACCAGTTACCACTGTGGGAGACTGACGTGTAAACCAGGAAGAACTGTGAGAAATGGTACAGAACACAGGAGAGCGGAAAGGCGAGGGAGCTGAGATGTTAATACCATCTCCCAACAGTCTCCACCGTCTGCTGTCAGAGTGACCTTCCAAAGGCTTCAGAGAAACTCGCAGGCAAAAAGATGCAGAATCTGGCAGGGGGAACAAGAGAGCACTAAACTGTGGATGCCTAAGGGACAAAGGTGGTGCCATCAGCATCTGCTAGAACTTACCTGCCAGTTCTGTTTATTTTTTCAGTCATTCAAAGTTTAATAAAATAGAGACATAAGAAAACGTATTAAGAGGTTCTGGCTAAGGTCACTGCAGTCATCGTATTCTTTCCAGCTGTGGTGTTATGAATGTCAGGAACCTCGTGGTCCAATTTTTGGAGCTTCTGAAGTTGCATGATTCAGTGATTATGAATCAGATTGGTCCAGAGAATTTCTGGAGGGTCTTAAAATCTGGCTCTTCCTTGTCTATTTGTTGTAGTTACCCAATGCAGGGTATTCGGGGATGCTCCTAGACCTCCTGGTTAGTCATATAAAATAAAACAACTTTTTTTTCTAAGTTGGGCACTGCGGCATGTGCCTGTAGTCCTAGCTATTCAGAAGGTCAAGGCAGGAGGATTGCTTGCAGCCAAGAGTTTAAAGCAGCAGTACACTATGATCATGCCTATGAATAGCCACTGTATTTCAGCCTGGGCAATATGGTGAGACCCCATCTCTTTTAAAAAATCCTTTTTGTCCTCTATACTCTCACAAAATGCTTCTGACACCAAATACGTAGGTTTCTTCCTCTCCAAGCAGCTCTCAAACACCAACTGGGTGTCCTGTAATTCAATTCAATCCTGACACTACCTACCTGGAGTTAGCATCAGATCCCACAGGTTAAGAGCTCCGTCCCATAAAACTGCCCTTACTTCAGATGACACGTCTGGCCTTCCCATACTTCTGATAAACTGGCTATAAATGAGGGGTTCCCACAACCTCCTCTGCAGAGGGATAAGTAGATAGTTTGCTAGAACAGCACCCAGAACTCAGGGAAACTATTTTTGCCAGCTTATTATAAAGGATACAATTCAGGAGCAGCCAAATGGAAGAGATGCTTAAGGCAAGGTAAGTGAGAAGGGGCATGGAGCCCCCAACTCCAACTTTTTGAGTCATTATAACACTTGACTTAAAATGCAAACATTATACAGCTGTCCAAAAATATTCTTTCTTTTACCCTTATTCTATAAGCCTTTTTTTCAATTTTCAAGAGGGTTTTTTTAACTTTTTTAACTTTTTTGTTAAAAACTAATACACATACGTACACGTGAGCCTAGGCCTACACAGGGTCAGGATCATCAATATCACTGTCCTCTACCTCCACATCTTCTCCCACTGAAAGGTCTTCAGGGGCAGTAACATGCAGGGAGCCTTCAGCTCCTGTGACAATGCCTTCCTCTGGAATTCCTCCTGAAGGACCTGCCTGAGGCTGTTTTATAGTTAACTTTATTTTCTTTTTTGATAAGTAAAAGGAAGGCTGGGCATGGTGTAGCTCACCCCTGTAATCCCAGCACTTTGGGAGGCCAAGGCAGGCAGATTACCTGAGGTTGAGAGTTCGAGACCAGCTGACCAACATGGAGAAACCCCATCTCTACTAAAAATACAAAATTAGCTGGGCATGGTGGTACATGCCTGTAATCCCAGCTACTCAGGATGCTAAGACAGGAGAATCGCCTGAACCCAAGAGGTGGAGGTTGCAGTGAGCTGAGGCCGTGCCATTACACTCCAGCCTGGGCAACAAGAGCAAAACTCCATCTCAAAAAAAATAAATAAATAAGTAGAAGGAGTACACTAATGATAAAAAGTATAGATATAGTAAATACATAAACCAGTAACATTTATTATTATTAACAAATGTTATGCACTGCACATAATTGGATGTGCTAGACTTTTATAGGACCTATTGACAACAAACCATGTCAATAGGTTTGTTGACATGGCTGTAGTCAAGGTACCCACCAGGGCTGCATTCTTATCTTCAGAGTTTATTCGGGTTCTTTGCAGGGTTCAATTCCTTGCAGATGTAGGATTGAGGCCCCCGACTCCTAGAGGCCA